TGTGACGTACTACCCCCCCCCTCTTTCTTCTAGGGCCCGGCGCGACACCAACGCCACCTGGTGACGGCTCTGTATCCGTGTGCGCTTCCCCCTCCCTGCCCCCTCACACAGCACACACACACATACACATACACGCACTAACACATAGTGGATTAGAACCGGCCTACTATATCTACTTATATAGATATATATATAAATCATATAATATAATATAATAAAAATTAAAAAAACAGTGATGTACGTACAAAAATATGTAAGTCGCGTATTACCATATGTTAAAAGTGATACTACATACTATTACTATATTAAGATAAATTATCGTACTATATCAAAGTCAGACTGACCTTTACTTTAAGTTAATTATACAGGTTCTGTTTTCGTAATTGTTATATATGTATCATTAAAGTTGAAATATGGTAATATATTTTATATGTAATGCAAAGAGAATCTCACAGAAATGTCAATTATTATTTTTTGAAATAAATATACTCAATTAAAAATAAAAAAGGAGTCGAACTTACATAAACATTTTTATTTATAAATACATTTTTTTGCCTTCGGTTTCTAATAAACACACACACACACGTAGTTTATTATATTTATCTACCGAGATACAAAGAGTCCACTATTTCTTTTCGCTTGTCAGCTGCACCGTTGGATGCAATCAAAACATTTTCTCTATTTGCCTGTTCGTCATTTTGTTGATTTTCTTCTTCATAATCATCGAATTCATATGTATCATTATGTGTAATACAAATATTATGCAAAATACAGCATGTAATAACTACAGTTTGCATCTCGTTCACAAGAAACATATTTAAAAATTGCAGTCTGCGGAATCTCCCTTTTAAAAGACCATATGCTTGTTCAATAACAATTCTTTTGGAACTTAGTTTTGTATTGTAGTTGATCTGCCTTCGACTTAAATGTCCATTATCACGAAATGGAGTCATTAAGTATGAATGCAACGGATATGCGGAATCTCCTAGTAGGTGCGTTCCTTCGGGTAATCTTAGATTATCTTCTACAAGACCACAACCTATTGGACTCTCTCGCCATACTCTAGCATCATGTGATGAACCAGGCCATCCAACAAATACATCGATGAATTTACATTTGGCATCACAGATACTTTGTAAAATTATGGAATAAAATCCTTTTTTATTGTAAAAACTGGCTGAATCTTCCATCGGTGCAGGTATTGGAATATGTGTACCGTCAACTGCACCGACAACATTCGGGAAACTATGTCCTACCCTTAAAGTTGTAAATTTCTGTTTGATATACCTGAATTCTGCTTTTGATGGTCAGTGCAGATATTCATTTGCAAGATTGAGTAAACATTTGCACATATCCAGAAAATGTCTATGTGCATTACTTCGAGTGATGTCGAAGCGATCACCTATCCCACGAAATTATTCTTGATTTGCCAAAGTCCATAATGTCAATAGCAGTGATTTCTCAATGGATATACCATGACTACCAAATCGAACTTTCCTTGCTTTATAATAAGGTAATATATTGTGTCTCACAATCTAAAAATATATCTAGAGACACGGTAGTGTCTCGGCGCTAAGCCAAGCGCGCGACACTGCCGTGCCTCCTTTACGCGACACGGAGATTTTTCGGGGTCGAGATGATCAGATCTCAGTATTCGTCGAGGATATGGGTGTCTAGGTGTTCGCCATCGAGGAAGTAGGCGTCTACGTGTTCGCCTTCGAGGAAGTGAGTGTCTACGTGTTCGCTGTCGAGAAAATTGGTGTCTAAATTGTAAGAAACGTCGACGTCGTCGTCGTCATTATTGTTGCCAGCTACGGAGCGAAGAAATGCATTCTGGAATTTTTGGCGCAAGAGATATAAATGTGTATCTATAATATCGATCGCTGCGATCTGTAAGATCGATAAAGTCGGATTATGAGTCTCGGCAATAACAAAGGATTGAGATTAGGACATCTGTCACATTGATGGCATAGAGGCATAGACGAATACGGAAGTGAGGTTAGAATAAAGCGCCGAGACACTACCGTTTCTCCAGATGATCTCTGCAATTTGTACGATCGTTAAAGTCGGATAAAGAATCTCGGCAATAACAAAGGATTGAGGTTAGGAAATCTGTTACATCGATGATATTTTCTGCTTTATTACACAAATTCTCTGCTGTAATTCCGCTGTAAGAATATCTACAAATTATTTTCTATATAATTATTTTCTTTTTATAGCATTTGGTTAGATTATTTATTTATTTATCGAGACACTACCGTGTCTCCAGATCTGTTATTTATTTATTTGGTAGATATCTCAGTTTGTATTCTCTATTCCTTATATAATTATAAAAGTCCTATGTACTGTATACTGTATTTTATTTTCAGATTTATTGAAAGAAAAGGCCTGAATCCAATCTGTCTGTATATATACCTTTATACTTTATATTTGATTGTTATCTCAATATTACTCTTTGAAATAATTTATTATTTATCAAGTCTTTATTACAACTCAGTATTATCCTATGAAATAATTTATATTATTTATCAGGTGTTTATTACATTTGTTCTATTTTTTACAATATCTTTACAAGTATATCCTGATAAATAATACATTATTTCATAGAATGATTTTGAGATAACTACCAGACAAATAAATAATATTAAATTATTAAAGTAAAAGGCAACTCACAAACTAAACACAGTGATGAGAAAATCTCAAGACTACGCCAAATATACAATAATTTGGTATTGCCTCTTAAGGATGTTAGTAAATAGTATATACTGACAGATTGGTTCAGACTTTTCCTTTCAATAAATCTGAAATTATATAATTCAGTACAAAGAATCAGTTCATTTATAATTATGTAAAAAATAGAGAGAAGAGATTAACTGTTCGGAATTGAGCTTGCAATTCGAACTATAGTTTCGCGAGTCAAATCTAGCGCGGCGCAGCCTATGTCTCGGCGCAGCCTCTCACGCTCCAATGAGTGAAGTCTGCGACTAGAAATCGCAAGCGCTAGCATAACCAACCAGCGCATCAAGTACCGATGTGCCGGACCAATCGAGGGGCGCCAACTCGGCGGTCACCTCAAAAAGAATAACAAAATAAAAAGCGATCTAGAAATTTCCTTTTGAGAGATAATATTCATATTAATTTCCGCCGGTAAACCGATCGAAGTTTCCAGACCGCTTTCTAACTATAAACCACCGTCTTTTTCGAATGCCGCATGTAGTCTTGAAAAAGTTGGAGTCAACTCAGCGTCGTTGCGTTTCGTAAAGCGCGGGAAGTAGCCAATGCGTTATTTTCGTAAGTGTCGTCTAGAAAAGTTAAAGTCAATTAAATTCGCGTCTTTATTGTAACTTGCAGTAATTGTTAATTTCAATTTGTTAAGAAATAAAAGGTGACTTCTGTTAAACTTATCGCGTCGATTATTAGTGCTGTTCGCATTCTCGTTCTTTCCTCTTGAAAACGGAAACCTTTTCGAACATTTCTGGTCCTTCGAGCCGGATTTCTTACCCGGCACGCGTACAGCCACATTACGAGGTAATCCTTGCGAGTAAGCTCGAGACGGAGTGTAGTGAAGTTACCTGTGTAGTTACCTGTGAAGAAGTACAATATGAGTATGGATCATGAAGCTCTCATACGACGACAAGTCGAATTGCAATCTCGCATCGCGAGGACGATCGACAATCTCAAAAAAAGCGGTATGGCCAACATTACGATCGATGCAATCGATAATCGCCTGTTACGGCTAGACAGTTGCTGGGCTAAGTTCGAGCAGCAGCACGACGAATTGAGCTCCAAGTACTGGGACCTCCTACAAGCTCACGATTATTGGAACAACGACTTTGTCAGTCAGGTCGAGGAGACATACCTGCAACAGCGTATTCAGCTCATGACGATGAGGCGATCCTTGTCCGCGGCTGAGAATCCCGGCAGTTCCAGTCAAGTCGAGGTGAGATCGTCCGTGCCGCTGGCTACTTCACGTTCACGCACTACGCTACCACGTAGCCAATATCCAATTGCCGCGCTTCTCCGGCAAGTACGAGGATTGGCCAGCATTCCGAGGTCTTTTCCTGTCCATTGTGCACGGCGATCCATCCACTACAGATGTGGAAAAGCTGCACTATCTAAAGTCTTGTCTGGAGAAGGAGGCCGCTAGATTAATCAAGAATTTGCCAACCACCGCTGAGAATTACACACGAGCATGGACCGCGCTCCAAGAATACTACGAGAATAAACGTCTGTTAGTGCGATCGTGCATAGCTAATTTCTCAGAGCTGCAAAAAATGAAAAATGAGTCGGCCGCCGAATTACGTAAAATATTCCATTGTGTGACCGATGTTCATGGCACGCTGGAGAGTGTTGGGCGTCCGGTTTCGAGCAGTGAGGACTTCTTCGTTCATTTCATAGTGGAACTTATGGATTCCCGGTCGCGGCGCGAATGAGAAACTTCTCTTAGCAGCACCGCGGAGCCGCCATCTTACTCCACCTTGAGGACCTTTCTAGAACAGAGGCTGCGTATATTGGAGGCTGTACACCCTGGAAAGTCGGACAGCGGATCCGGTAAGCTCAATGCTGAGAAGGGCAAGCCAGCGCATACACACCATGCCAAGAAGCCGGAAACTAGGAAGTGTCGCTGCTCACTGTGCCAAGCGGAGCACTCCTTGATGCTGTGTGAGGTCTTCAAAGGGAAGTCGCCCTCGGAGAGGGTGCAGCACGTGCGAGAGAGCCATCTCTGTAACAACTGTCTCGGCCAGCACAAGGTTAGTGATTGTCCATCGAAGAGATCGTGTGCCGCTTGCGGAGAGCGGCATCATTCCATGTTGCATGACGCTCATCGCGATTGTGAGGGTGCCACGACGTCACTCGTGGCAAGCCAGTCGCCCAGTGGGCCAACCGTTCTCCTCGCTACGGCCGTGATCCGCGTGGTTGATAGGTTCGGCGTCCGGCACACCGCGCGAGCTCTCATCGACCAAGGCTCTGAAACGTCGCTCAGAAGCTGAAATTGATGCGCTCTCGTGCCTCCATTGCTATCTTCGGAGTTGGCGGTCAGCAGACGGCGATCGCCCGCGGCCGAGTTTCTCTCGAGTTTACATCCAGGATGGACGGACCTTCGATGATGACGTCCGCGCTAATCTTGCCTCGCCTCACTATTTACGCGGGCGGCGGTGGGATGAGTGCTCGTGACTGGCCGCACCTGCGCGGATTGGAGCTGGCCGATCCGGATTTCCTCGCGACGGACCCGATTGAGATACTCCTCGGCGCCGACGTGCATGCGGTTATTATCCGCGACGGTATAAAGAGAGGCCGTCCTTGCGAGCCTGTGGGGCAGAACACAGCGTTAGGATGGATAATCTCAGGAGCAGCCGATGCTAATATTAAAAGTCAGTACGTACATACGCATCAGTGCACTATATGTGATGATCTTTCGATGATGGTCAGACGTTTCTGGGAGCAGGAAGAACTCCCTGTTGCCGCTGCTCCATTGACGCCAGAAGAGCGGGAGTGTGAGGACCTCTTCAATCGCACGCACATCAGACTGCCTGACGGGCGGTATATGGTTCGCCTTCCAGTCACTGGACTACTTCCTGACTTCTCCAATTCACGGCAGACGGCAGCCCGGGTGCTGGCGCATGTTGAACGGCGGCTCGAGCGAGACTCAACAATGCGCACTCTCTATTGCGACTTCATGCGCCAATACGAGGACCTGGGACACATGTCAGTGGCAGAGGCTCCGACTAGTCGCACTTCAAGACGAACTTGTTATCTACCGCACCACGGCGTGTTGCGGGCAGAAAGCTCATCCACCAAACTAAGAGTCGTATTCAACGGCTCGTCAACTATTGCCTCTGGTCAGTCGTTGAACGATCACCTCTATCCAGGACCGAATTTACTGCCTTCGCTGGCTGACGTCCTTCTCCGATGGCGTCTGCACAAGTACGTCCTTGCCGCAGACGTTGAGAAGATGTTCCGACAGATTCAAGTCCACCCGAAGGATCGCGATCTGCAACGTATCTTGTGGCGTCATGATGAGGCCGATAAAATTAGGGATTATCAGCTCAATACAGTTACTTACGGTCTGGCGTGCGCCCCTTTCCTAGCTATGCGAACGTTGCGGCAGCTGGCCGACGACGAGGAGAATCATCAACCATTGGGAGCTGCCATCTTGCGCCGAGATGTCTACATGGATGACATCCTCACTGGCGCCGCCAACTACCAGGAGGCGAAAGAGATCCAGCGGCAGCTTTCACTTCTCTGCTCGGCGGGCGGGTTTCCTCTCAAGAAGTGGTCAGCCAACAACATCTACCTGCTGGAGGACGTACCAAAGGAGAATAGGCTGCAGAGAGACTCCCTCTCCTGGCTTCTTCCGGAGAGCCATTCGACGCTCGGGTTGCGGTGGCACCCTTCTCGCGACCACTTTTCAGTCGTTTGCAGGGCTGTTTCGGACTCGACTCCTACCAAGCGATCTGTCTTGTCTCAAGCAGCTCAACTGTTCGATCCGCTTGGATGGCTAGCCCGGATGGGCGAAGATCCTCATCCAGACCACGTGGCTTCAAGGACTCGAGTGGGATGATCCGTTGGCAGATGCAGAGGCTAAACTCTGGCGAGCTTTCCAGGAGGAGCTCCCTCTCCTAAGTCAAATACACGTGCCTCGATGGCTGCAGAATGAATCTTCCCACGATGGCCAGGAGATTCACGAATTCTGCGATGCTTCGGAGCACGCTTACGCGGCTGTAGTGTATCTGCGCACGTTAACACCGGAGAAGGTGGCAATCTCATTAGTGATGGCAAAAACCAAGGTGGCTCCCTTGAAGCAGGTGTCCTTGCCTCGTCTGGAACTCTCTGGTGCGGCATTGCTCGCTCGACTTGTTTGCCATGTACAGTCGGTGCTTGGGCTGCACAATGTTCCTACCTATCTTTGGACAGATTCCATAGTGACACTGGGCTGGATTCATGGACATCCGTCACGCTGGAAGACGTACGTCGCTAATCGTGTTGCCGAGATCCAGAGAATGGTGCCTGATGCCCATTGGCGTCACTTGCCAGGTCGTGAAAATCCTGCTGATTGCGCCTCTCGGGGAATACTCCCGAGCGACCTGGTTCATCATCCGCTGTGGTGGCGGGGCCCTCCATGGCTTTCTTCAGATCACGAGTCATGGCCTTCCTCAGTTCAACCCGTCGAGCGAGACTTGCCAGAGACTCGCGTCAAGTGCAATGTTCTGAAGCTGCCTGACGAGGCGCCGCTGCTAACTCGTTTCTCAACCTTGAACCGGCTAGTGCGAGTGGTGGCCTGGTGCCGTCGCTGGTTGCGAGTCATCCGTCTGCCTCCGGACGAAACTCCTGGGAGGGACCGGTTGCTATCGGTGAAGGAGATGGACGAGGCCCGTCACGCCCTAATCCATTTAACGCAGGTTACCTGGTGGAGGAAAGAAATTGACAACATTAAAGAAAATCAACCGCTACCTAGAGGGTGCGTACTCACCAAATTAAGCCCCTTTGTGGATGAGCTGGAAGTGCTTCGGGTAGGGGGACGTATCAAGTACGCACTGCTGGCCTATGACGAGAAACATCCAATGATCCTTCCGGGCGAGTCTCATTTCGCCAAACTCGTCATCGAAGCTTGTCATCGAGGTACTCTTCATGATGGAGTTCAGGCCACGCTGGGATTGATACGGCAGCATTATTGGATTCCTCGCGGCAGGGCTCTAGTCAAGAGCCTCATTCACCGTTGCGTACCTTGCTTGCGATGGCGGGCGGCGCCCTCTCTTCAAATCATGGGGGATCTACCGAGACAAAGAGTTACTCCAGCACGCCCTTTCTTGAACACGGGCGTCGACTACGCTGGTCCTGTGATGCTGCGGACGACCAAGGGACGAGGACAGAAGGCGTACAAGGCCTTCGTGGCTGTGTTCGTTTGCATGAGCTCTCGGGCTGTGCACCTTGAAATTGTTTCAGATTACAGTTCCGAAGCTTTCTTGGCTGCCTTACGACGCTTTGTGTCGAGACGCGGCTTGTGTCACACCATCTACAGCGACTGCGGCACTAATTTTGTAGGAGCTGACAGACAGCTTAGAGCTATGTTTGCCGCCAGCAGCTTAGAAGGACGAAAAATCGCCGATGGCCTCGCGTCCCTCAAGATAGAGTGGCGCTTCAACCCTCCCGCTGCGCCTCACTTCGGAGGCTTATGGGAGGCCGCCGTGAAATCCATGAAGCATCACTTGCGGCGGGTGTTGGGAGAATCTACGCTGACTTACGAGGAGATGGCTACCCTTCTTGCGCAGATTGAGGCATGCCTTAACTCAAGGCCACTCCAGGCGTTAACGGACGACCCGGAGGATCTCGCTGCGTTGACGCCAGGCCACTTTCTTATCGGGTCAGCTATCAACGCAGTGCCGGAGCAGTGTCTCTTGGAGATTCCTATGAATCGTCTGGGGAGATGGCAGTTGATACAGAGAATGCGGGATCAGCTATGGGACAGATGGTCCAAGGAGTACTTACATGCTCTCAATCACAGACCTAAGTGGTGGAACAGCAACGCTTCATTCCAAGTAGGACGCTTGTGCTTGCTGCGTAACGAGGCTGCACCGCCGACGAGATGGCCGCTAGCTCGGATCGTTAGGATCCACCCAGGAGACGACGGGAACATCAGGGTAGTAACTGTACGCACCGCCACATCTGAATTAGTGCGTCCAGTGGCGAAGCTCGTGCTCCTCCCCGTCAGCGATATCCGCGAAAGCGACAAGGCGGAAGCAAATGCGGAACCATGATGTCGTCGGGTGATTCATCATAAGTATATAAGAAAGTTTATTGTATTAGTCTATTGTACATCTTTCGGTAAGATTATGTATCCTAACCTCTTACCTGTCGACTTTTCAATCTTCACAAAAAAAAAAAATTGCTTCATGTTCACCTACCTCTAGACGCACAAGTAGAGCTCACCTCTTGTCTGCGAAAGCGCACTATTATTGATCTTCGATCAATTCACGTATTTTTCCTTCCATTCATCACTTAATTCACTCACTGTTGTCACGTCGCCGTGTGTACAATGCATTCGAATTCTCTATCACTTCACTGTCATTTAGTAATTTACTGCGTGGATCGTCGCGTTATCGCGTTGTCGCGCCACCTCGATTAATCGCGATGCGCGCCGTCACTAATTGTGAGTCCGTGTTAAATCTCAACGAGAATTATTCTGATTATTCAAGAGTTATGCCTTACCGAAAGATTGATGTAAGTGATGTATAAAAATTGTTACGGCGCACAGTAGGGACAACGGGACAAAAATCGCTGTGTCGTCAATTCTTCACCGATTTTGATGAATTTTTTTTTTGAAATGCTCAGAATAAACCGTATTTTATGAATCCACTGCCACATTGGGAATTTTGATAAGCAGAAAAATGCAGAGGGCGCACTATAAGCATACGACTGATGTTACGCATAAAAGTTCTGTGTAGGACGTTAGTTTTATGGAATTCAAAATGGCGGATCCAAAATGGCGGACGGAAATGCGAATTTTTATTTCATTTTTAACATACTTTTGTTTGTATTATTACAATTGTAAAATTGTTATACATTTATTATAACAAAAGTTGTTTGTATAAATCAGACTGATGAATATATTTCAGGAAATCCATATCCACTTAGTTTTTTATGCCCGAGTAAGAAAGTTATATATAGATTATATAAGTTTATAACATTTTTTAATTCTTATTGATATAATAAATGTATAATTTCTTGTGTTCGTGTGTATGTGAAGTGCGCACGCGAAGAGTGTGTGACTGTCCTGTGTCATTAGCATTATGATTTAATTATCATTTTCATAACTTCCTGCGATAATTCTCTTTCATTTCGTTTTTCCTTTTTTCGTAAGGTACGAATCAACGGGTCTGATGACACCAGAAGATGATGAATTACATCCAAATTAGTTAACTGCCGGTTACTCATCCGGCTATGTTTAGCCCTTGCTTCTCTAAAAACTTTATTGCTCGCTTCTTGAGCTTCTTCTGATAGCCAACCAATAGGGACGGGGAACCATTCCATTATTGCGC